CCCCCCCCCATCCCTTGCTAGTCTTGATGGCTGGATGGTAGACGAGAACAAGATGATAAGTCTTGATGGCTGGATGGCAGAAGAGACCAAATTGCTAGCCTTAATGGCTGGATGGCAGAAGAGAACAAAATGTTAGTCTTGATGACTGGATGGCAGAAGATAACTATTAGTACAGAAGGAAACTACGTGACCTTGGATTGTATCCCCGACATCAAGACACAACTTCGATTGTCGTAGAACAACAGCAGTAACAACGCGTTCAATCGAAGCCCAGCGCAACATTTGTGAGAACACATAAGCGTTAGATACGATGAGTTGATTCGAATCTCCGTTGTCCGGGTACGAACGTGGGTGTGCGCGTGACGAAAAACAAAATCACAACAAATGTTTCCTGCAGATGTCTCCCGAGCTCAAGGAATGGAGCGCCCTGGTCCTCATCGTGTCGACGACAGGAAACGGAGATGCTCCCGAAAACACCGAACGATTCTGGAGGTTCGTTCGTTTTTTTCACTTACTTTTGGGGGGCGAGATATATACTATATATATATAGAGAGAGAGCAAGGCCGTCACTACCCTACCAACGGCAGAGGCTGTCGACGTGTTGGAAAAAACAGACCCGCCTCGTAAAGTACAGAGGACGCAGTGCCTATGTGGCTCTGATCGCCTCGTACTATAGAAGGTCCCTGTTGAGTGCCGGTTGACTAGTGGCGATGCCCGGTATAGTGCCGGTGTTGCCGGTGGGCACACACAGAACTGCCTAGTCATTCTCAATACTTTGAATAGTGCCGGTCCGGTATTACAACGCCGGTGAGTTTTCTGGGCACATACGTGCTGACACTGAGTAGGGGCCTCTACTGTGTTTCCCATCTTCCTTCCCCCCCCCCCACCCCCGTCTTCGTCTATCTTGTCTTACCGCCCGCCCCACCAACCTTCCCGTCGTTGTTGAATCTCCTTTCCCGACATAGGTTTTTGAAGCGAAGGACTCAACCGAAGGATCTTCTGCAGGGGCTGTCGTTCGCTCTCCTGGGCCTCGGGGACACCAACTACGATAAGTTTTGGTGAGCCAAGACAGACAGGCAGACCGACAGACGATATGGACAGACCGCCAGGCAGAGGCAGACTGACAGACAGACAGACAGACGGATAGTCCGACAGACAGGCAGACCGACAGACGATATGGACCGACAGCCAGGCAGAGACAGACTGACTGACGGACAGACAGATAGTCCGACAGACAGGCAGACCGACAAACGATATGGACAGACCGCCAGGCAGAGGCAGACTGACAGACAGACAGACAGACGGATAGTCCGACAGACAGGCAGACCGACAGACGATATGGACCGACAGCCAGGCAGAGACAGACTGACTGACGGACAGACAGATAGTCCGACAGACAGGCAGACCGACAAACGATATGGACAGACCGCCAGGCAGAGGCAGACTGACAGACAGACAGACAGACGGATAGTCCGACAGACAGGCAGACCGACAGACGATATAGACAGATAGCCAGGCAGAGACAGACTGACAGACAGGCAGACGGATAGTCCGACAGACAGACAGATAGGCAGACATGTGAGGCAGACAGACAGATGAGACGAAAAGACAGACAGAAAGGGAGACGGCTGGCGACAGACGGGCAGACAGATAAGCTGGCAGAGAGGCAGAGAGATGGGCGCCTCTTTGAGGGTGTAACCAGGTGGTTTCAAGGGCACTGAAAAGCGATTGGACAGGTGTTGGTGAGAAAGGCAAACATAAAGACGAGACAGACAGACAGGCCGACAGATAAGCAGACAGGCAGACGAGAGAAAGATTGCCTCTTTTGAGAGTTTACCAGGTGGTTTGAAGGTACTGAAAAGATATTGGGCAAGTGTTGGTGAGACAAGACAAACATAAGACACGATACACAGATCGGCAGGCAGAGAAGACTGGCGAACGGCCTCCTTCTCGAAATATCGAAACTTTTTTTTTTTTAACAACTTCTCGAGATATCGAAACCTAATTTTTTTTTGTTACAACAACAATGACCAACGCCAGTTGCTTCTCGAACAATGATTTCGGTTCCACCGATGTGGCCCCTCTCGAAACGGCACAGCATATTGTAATGTCAACCTGTTCCCCGCCCTCGCCCTCGCCACCAAAAACAGCTACATGGGCAAGAGCCTCGACAAGAGGCTCAGGGAGCTCGGAGCGGCGCCGTTTCACCCCCCCGCCTTCGCCGACGAGGCCACCAACATGGAGGAGACGATCGAGCCCTGGCTGGCTTCGCTCTATCCGGCTCTGAGGGCAAGCATTTTAGGGGCGGCGGAAGGTGCCGCCGACGCGGCAGCTGCTGTTCCCACGAAGGCGGCAGATGGATCACCGGCTCCGGCGGCGGCGGCGGCGGGGTCGGAAGATGCCGTGAAGGAAGCCATAAAGGCAGCGGCGGCGGAGGCGTTTCAGTTGCCGCCCGATACCGCCGCCGCCGCCGCCGCCGGTACCACGGCGAGAAACGTTGCCGGCAAGAACGGCGGCGGCGGCGGCGGCGGCGGCAACGCTGCCGACTCCACAGCTAAAAACGTTTCCGGTCCGAATGGCGCCCCGGCAGTCTCTGCCCCGGCGGCCGCCGTTACCGTCGCAGCGGCGGCATCTCCGCCTGCCTCAGTCGAAGCAGCGGCAGCAGGGCTGGCCGATCTCAACCTCTCCGACGATGGTGCGGCGACGGCGACGGCCTCGTCCGTGGTCGAACCCGGTGCAGCACCCACCCCGCCCGGAGAACAGACCTCGGGCAGCAACAGCAGCAGCAGCAACACCACCCCTACTACCAACACCAGCAACGGCGACAGCAGCGGCAACAGCGGCGGCGAAGGTGACCCTTCCCCCGCCGGCCGGCCTCCTCCGCAGCAGCCGTGGTCGCCGCGAGCGGAGTCGGGCGCCAGGCCCCTGTCCGACTTCCTGGCGCCCGAGCACCTGGAGCCGGGGTACTCCCCAGCCAGGAGCGACCTCCCGCGGGCGAGGCCGAGCGCCGCGGACGTGAGGTTCCACGTTTCGAGCGCGGCGCCGGAAGTCGGCGAGGTAGAAGAGGAGCAGCCGTGGCTAAGGCGTGCCCGGCAGAGGTCGTCGTCCGTGGAGTCACGCCACACGCTGGACTGGCCCTTCTCCGCCCGGTTGAAGAGCGCGAAATATCTTACGAAAGGCGGCAGGGGCGCGGACCGCAGGTGGGCTTGGGGGGTAAGGAGGGGGGGGGGGGGTACTCATGGTAGTGCATGCCGTAGTCGTTAGACCATAGACCTCGCATCCCTACAAAGCCGGGACGGAGCACGCCGGGTTCTCACCGGACCAGGCTCTCACATCACCAAGCGCGAAGCGCCGTGAGATATTCGGCGAGTCGCATGAAGGGTGCGCTGCATCCTGCTAAGGGTGTTCGGCATCTTGTGCTTACTTCCTTGCGTACGGATGACAGCTGCGTATGACTTAATTTTTTTTCTGGTGCTTTCACTTCCAGAGACAGTTGTAAGCACTGTGTAACTGCCTCGAGGGTGCTTGACCATTTTAACACAACGTGGTGCGATCATCCCCCTTGCGCGGAGCGAGTGTCCTCCACCCCGCACAACATGATCTACTCGACCACCATTATGGTTACCGCCAAAAAAAAGCCGGAGGTAAAAAAAAAATAACGGTAACCTGGTTGCCGAGTTCACGAAGTGAATTGGCTTGTTTTACAACGTCTTTGCCAAGCGACGAAAACCCAAACCCGATGGCAAACACCGGGGGGGTTGGCTTGTTTTACAACGTCGTTGCCAAGCGACGAAAACCCAACCCCGATGGCAAAACACCGGGGGCGGTGGCTTGTTTTACAACGTCGTTGCCAAGCGACGAAAACCCAACCCCGATGGCAAACACCGGTGGGGGATGTCAAGGGTAGGGGGGGGGGCTCCAGGGTATCCGCGTGTACCCCCCGCCAGATGGCGGGCCGTTTTACCTGCTCTCGTCCGCTTCGCTCCTCGTCTTGTACGGTTGTTTTGTTGTGACAAACCATGTCCATTTGTGTGCGTATTTGAGGCCAACGATATATGCACTTCCCCCGCTCCCGCTAAGCCTCGGTCGCCGCTACTAAAACTCGCGTGGGGCTGTTGGGAAGGGGGACAAAAGCCACGGGTGAGGGTTTCCGAAATAATTTGTTTTTCTGAAGTACCTGCCGTTCCATTTTTCCTCTCCGTCCAACCCTTCCTCTTTCGTTGTCGCTCGCTCGCTGGACATGCCGACAAAAAAAGAGTTATCAACATGGAGCTGTCGCTGCGAGGGTCGGGCATCACCTACGTTCCCGGGGACGTGATCGGGTTTCGTTGTCCGAACCGCGCCGCCGATACCGCCTACCTCTTGGACCGCCTCCAGGTGAGGGGGGACTCGGTCGACGCAGCTACATACGTCACCAACATTTTGAAGGAGTGCGGAATTATTTGTCCTTGTGCGGTGTCGTTTCAGTCTTTTCGTTTTCCCTGCTCCTGAAGTGGGCCGGCACTACTTGCTGCTGTTTGTATGACGTTTTTACCTTTCCAGCTCCACAAGTTTGCTTGCTCGATACAGCAGTACGGGCTGCTGCAGCGGCCCCGCGGACATGGCGTATGCGGAAAAACGAGAGACGAGCGTTTAAGGTAGTATCCTGTAGGTTGCATAAGATATCACACTCCCTAGACCGATTTTCAAAGCTCGATTACTCGGTAGAAAGAAAGAGCGAATAACGGTGCCGGAAATGGCGGCGTTGGAACCGTCTCGTCGAGAGCTTTCCGAAACGTAATGTTTGATATTGGCATCTTCTTGGTGGAGTAATTGCGCTTTGAAAAATCGGTCGCGGGGTTGTGTTATCTTGTGTCATGCCACCTACGGTAGGCACCGGACGCGCATGGCCTCATGCAAGTAGGAGTTAAGGATTAAGTTTGCGCTGGCGAAAACATGCCAACCACCACAGGAGCCAACAAAGTTTGACTTTTGGAAGATGTTGTACGTGTCTCGCCTTGTTGTCTCCGGCCCGCGTCGGAGAAAGGCCTTGTGCCCCCCGCTCCCCCCCCTCCGCCGCATGTAGTGATTATCACCGTAGTAGATAGTATTGTCTCAACAGGCAAAACCATTCCACAGCAGTTATCTGCTCGCAGTAGTAAGTATTATCGTCTCGACAGGCAAAACCGTGCCACAGCTGTCTGCTCGATGGCAGCTCGCGTGGCGAGCGACGACATCAGCAGCGAAATCACGTTGTCCACATTTTTTTGCACGCCCACCCACCCGCTCGTCCTTTGAACGCGGCGGCAAGTGCGACGAGCGAGCGAGAGAGAGAGAGAGAGAGAGAGAGAGAGAGAGAGAGAGAGAGAGAGAGAGAG